TGGATGATATTGTAAAAAATAAGTTTGGCAACGTGTATAAAGCAAATTGGATTAATGGAAATATAAAACATTGGGATGATAAAAATCAAAATTGGAAAAGAGAAGGTCATAATAGGCTTGTGAATTTGAAGAGAGTAAATTCTTTAAAAAATATTAAAATAGAATTTGAAAATGAGGTACTATAATAAATTTTTATTTAACAAAATTTTGAAGTTTCTAATTTCTACTAATATATTTGTATTTGTAGATCAATATACCTTTTGGAATAACTCAAGATCCAGAAACAGATAATTATATGATAGTTTTGAATTATGATTGCAAAAAGTGTGATAGTATATGTAATACAATACACTTTCAACATAAATTCATAGATTGGACCAGTGGTTATAATGATATTGATAAATTTATTCAAGATACTCAGTCATCATCTCATAATGATTTAAAAGATGCATTAGAATGGATACCTTATGATAGATTATATAATATTAAATATATTGCAGAAGATGAATTTGGCAAAGTGTATAGAGCAAATTGGATTGATGGTTATATAACTAATTGGGATAGCAAAAATCAAAATTGGAAAAGAGAAAATTATAATATGTTTGTAAACTTGAAGAATTTAAATAATTCAAAAAATGTTACAATAGAATTTACAAATAAGGTATGATAAATTTATTTAGCAAAATTTTGAATATTTTAATTTCTACTAAGTATTATTACATTTATAGATTAAAATAGAATATAAATTTTATGGAATAACTCAATATCCAGAAACAAAGAATTATTATTTAATGATTTTGAATAATAAATGTAAAAAGTGTAATAGTATATGTAACACAATAAACTTTCAACATAAATTCATAGATTGGACTAGTGGTAATAATTATATTGATAAATTTATTCAAGATACTCAGCTATCAGCTCATGATAATACAGGAAAAGCATTAGAATGGATACCTAACAATAGATTGTATGATATTAAATATATAGCAAAAGATAAATTTGGAAAAGTGTATAGAGCAAATTGGATTGATGGATACATAAGTGAATGGGATTATAAAAAACAAAATTGGAAAAGAGAAGGTCACAATATGATTGTGAATTTGAAGAGCTTAAATACTACTCTTACATTAAAATTTACAAATAAGGTATGATAAAATTATTTAGTAAATTTTGAATACTTTAATTTTACTAAATATTATTACATTTATAGATTAAAATAAAATATGAATTTTATGGGATAACTCAAGATCTGGAAACAAAAAGTTATTTATTGGTTTTGAAAAATAAATGTAAAAAATGTAATAGTATATGTAACACAATAAATTTTCAATATAAATTCATAGATTGGACTAGTGGTAATGATGATATTGATAAATTTATTCAAGATACTCAGCTATCATCCCATAAAGATGTAAAAGAAGTATTAGAATGGATACCTTATGATAGATTTTATAATATTGAATATATTGCTAAAGGTGGATTTGGCAAAGTGTATAGAGCAAATTGGATTGATGGGTATATGACTAATTGGAATAATGAACATCAAAATCGGAAAAGGTATAATGAAAATATGCTTGTAGCTCTGAAAAGTTTAGATAATTCAAAAAATGTTACATTAGAATTTATAAATGAGGTATAATTTGATTAATCTTATAAATCTAATATTACTTTTGATTTTGTTAGCTTTACTAATATATACTGTATATTTACATTTACATCATAGATCATGCTGCATAATAAAGTGAAAATGGATAATGATATAATTGTTAGATTCTATGGAATAACTCAGGATCCAAAAACGAAAAATTATATAATGGTCCTAGAATATGCAGAAGATGGAAATCTACGAAATTATTTAGACAAAGAACATAATATGCTTAACTGGAATAAAATGTTTGAATATTTACAGTATATTATTGTTGGACTTAAATGTATTCATGAAAAGGAATTTATTCATCGAGATTTGCATATTGGAAATATTTTAAAGTTTAAATATAAAACTGCTATAACTGATATGGGATTATGTAAACCTGCAAATTATAATGAATTTAATGAATTAGAAGGTACAAAAAACAAGATATATGGTGTTTTACCTTATATAGCTCCTGAAATTTTAAGAGGACAAAATTATACCAAAGCTGCCGATATATATAGTTTTGGTATAATAATGTATGAAGTAATTTCTGGATTGCCCCCATATCATGATTTAAAACATGATAATAATTTAGCAATAAAAATTTGCAAAGGACTTAGACCAAGGTTTAACATTAAAGTACCACAATTAATTGTACATTTAATTAAAAGATGCTTAGATGCAAACCCATTAAGCAGACCAATAGCAAAAGAAATAATTAATATTTTATTTAGATGGCAATATGAATCTAATAATGAACAAACGATAGAATTACGAGCACAAATTAAGGAAGCAGATGAGATAAGTAATAATTCATCAAATAGCAGTATAACTTCAACTAGTTTAGGGATATCATATAATACACATTCAGAAGCTATTTATACAAGTAGATTACTCGATTTTAATAATCTTCCTGAACCAAAAAATTCCGACGATTATTATGAACAAAATGATAATATAATTAGCGAGAAATTTTCAGGTATCATTTAATAATTTTGTTATTTAAAATGCAAATCAGTTTTTAAAGATACTAATAAAACTTTTTATTAAATAGAATCTTTACAACTTGATATTTCTCAATTGAATAATAATAAAATGTAAGTTTTTTAATTATCTGATTAATGATTAATAATATTATTTATATTTAATATACTATTTTTTTTTTGTAGGCCTAAAATAAAAAATTCTGATGAACAATATGATAATATAATAAGCAAGGAATCTTCAGGTATTATTATTAATAATAATTTTGTTATTTTAAAAATGCAAATCAGTTAAAGATACTAATAAAACTTTTTATTAAATAGAATCTTTACAAATTAATATTTCTCAACTGAATATTAAGATGTAAGTTTTATATTATTCGTATTCAATATATTATTTTATTTTTTTTTTAGGTTCAAAATATCGAATAGAAAAAAGTTTTGGACAAAGATCATAAACTAGTTTAGTTGCTAGTCACAAATATTACAAATACTATTGTATGTGTAGTATATATAGATAAACCTATTTTTTTTTTTATTTAAATCATTACAATTTAAAACTCTGTTTAACGTCAGTTTTAAAAATATTAACGTTGAGATATATTGAAATAGAGTATTTTTTTTTTTTTGCTTTTCTTCACTAATAGAAGGGTAAATTTTTTTTTTATAAATTATTGAGAATTACGTTAAACAGGGTTTTAAAATTTAATGATCAGTTATTTAAATTATATGTATTCATTTTATTTTTATTGATTAAATAAATTATTAAATATTTTAAACAAATACCACAGGTCGAAAAGTGAAAAATCAGGCACCAATCAGTCACCAATCAGGTAGCTGATTGGTGACTGATTGGTGACTGATTGGTGCCTGATTGGCATTTTCGCCAAATACCGTCACCAATC